CGACGTTTCAGTATAGATCCTTATACCGTTGTCAAGCAAGGATCTATACCGAATCGTCGCCTTTACTGTATTCAAGAAGTTGTTATTAATAAATTGAGTCTACTTTGTCATCCGTCAACTTCCAAGTAATGCCTATCAAACAATTCATTATGGTTTAATGAGGTCACATCTTCCAGACAGAAGGAGGATGTGGTCATATCGACCAACGGAGGAAGTTTGGCGAAAAGGGGTTCTCGCCCCTGGCATACAATGGTCACATAAATGACGAAGATTTACCACTTTGTCTCTTATATCTCTTGTGGATCAAGCGTTTGATTGCGTCGTGCATGTTTCTTCCTTTCTGTGATGATAAATCACAGGTTAAGTGGGTGTTAGGATAAAATCCACAATACGCTATGACCCAGAGAGGTTTATCAAACGGGAAGGGAGTTACAGATGTGACGAGTTTCTGTTTACTAAGGTCCAGGACATGGACTGTATGTGTTTCCTCTTCAAGAACGAATCCCAAATCCAGGCTGTAAGTTGTACCACTCTCGTTCAGCGTAAGGTTGTCATGGGACAGATATAGTCCGTTGTTGTACACCTTTAGACATATTGCATTATGTTTTGCGCATGTTGCAAACAATACACTCAATCCAGTTGTTTGGGTCTTGTTAGCATGAACAGGGCTGCCAGTCAAAGCTGCTTCGAAGATAAAAGTATTGTAATCATATGGTTTTATGACAGAGTATGTGACCTCCATGCCATACATGATGGTCTGTCCTGGCCTGATGACCAGAGGTGTTGATGTCAGGACAGAGGGAGATGCATGTAGTCGGCATCCTGTCCTTGGTGGAAGATGTTCTTGTTTGCCATTGGTGACAAATGGCCCCGAAACCGTCAGACCGTCACTTGCAATACTGGAGTCCCACTCCAGATCCGCACCTGGGGAGAAGACATCGTTCGTATCAGGTGAATGCGTTTCCGTGTATACAAACATCTGTACTAAATGTCATATTAGTGAGTGAATTGGGGTTAACACCGTTTTAACAGTAAACCAGTCATATCACGGCGTGTCAGCTTAATATGGGATGAAAGTGTTATATATATATTGCTATGGTTTCCGTGAAGTTTAAGGATAGTGCTATATAGGTTAAAGTATAACATATCGGTGAATCAGAAAAGTACTAGTGAAATAAAACGAAAGTCTACCTGCCATATTTGGACAATGCTCAAACAATTGAAGGACATTTTGTATCAGATAGACTGACTTCAGCAGGGGTGTGTTAATTACTTTTGAATGTGAAGTCGGAACATACTACAAATTCCGATTCCTAGAAACATATGCTTTGTAGTGAAATGAGTCAGTGAGTGATTTGTGTTTTATTACGCTTTTAACAGTATTCTAATTGTGGGAGGAAAGCCTGATGTGATGCAGGTCTCAGCTGTTTACCACTTTGGTGAAACCCTCGAGCACCGATATGGTGCTGACAGACCTAGGAACACAATCGGGGCGAACCGGGATTCAAACCCACGATGATAGATATGTAGCGTAATCAAAGGACGCAACTCTGCAAGGGCGTATTAGACGACCGCCAGCTGTTCATTTCGTTTCGCATGCGAGACACTAATCTACCCTTTCCAGATATACTGGTTTCAACAACATGTTTTATCATACTGAAATTGTACATTTCTAAGAGAGATAACTTAAACTGGCACCTGTTTTAAGTTATGATCCAATTTGCTTGCAAAATATATCATGCTATCGCGATATGTCGGTGTGTTCTGTCAGTGTGTGTGTGTGTGTGTGTGTGTGTGTGTGTCTTTTAAAGGAATTATGCTCACGACAAAATAAGGGAACTAATGAAATGATAGTGAAGGTGTAATGACGATCAATGTCAATCTCTGGTGTGTCCACCCCACCCCACTATGTTGGGCGACACATGCACGATACCCGGATGGCGCTGTGGTGATTAACTTGCGTATGGTTGTCTTTGGTATTGCCCGCCATTCCGCTACCGCAAGAGCTACCCCTAGCTGGGCTGGATCATACCAAAAGACGTCAAAAGATTATACTTGTTGTTACCCTGCCTGGCGCTGTGCATTATGGGGCTAAAAGAAGGAATGGTCAGCTCGGATCCCGTAAAGTGCGTCTGAGTGGGGTATTCATGTTAAACTGCGGCCTGGTATCTCATTGGGCTAGAACAATAAAACCGTCCGGAGTAGTACAATCACACACACACACACGCACACACGCACGCACGCACGCACGCTAGCACGCACGCACGCACGCACGCACGCACGCACGCACGCACGCACGCACGCACGCACACGAACACACACACACAAACATACACGTCCAAGCATGTCGATAAATAGGTGCAATAATCTTGGACGCGACGTTAAACCCCATCTCACATAACCTTACCTCAGGATTTCAGCAAGGATATGGCAGTTTTCTCTGGGGTAAGCCAACCTGGATACCAGTAGCTCTAAAATTCCTCGAACTGGCCGTCCCTCTGATGCACCCATGCCAACCACTCAATCTGAGTTACATGGTACGGAAGTGTCCAGTCGGAGTCGGACAAAGCCCACTACTGAGGGGATAGCCCTTCGGGTCCTCCAAAGAGCTCAGATGAATATCCAGCAGAGAATGGTTGGGAGCAGGCCAAACAACATCAGCCAATTCATGGTAACTCTGCACAGGGGTATGGTAAATGTGTAAACTCATCCACCCAGGAGACCTTTGCATCAAGGTCTCTGTATTTGTCATCAGAAAAAGTGGGGCGGTCGGGTAGCCTAGTGGTTAAAGGTTTCGCTCGTCACGTCGAAGACCCGGGTTCGATTCCCGACATGGGTACAATGTGTGAAGCCCACTTCGTGTGTCCCCCGCCGTGATATTGCTGGAATATTGCTAAAAGTGGCGTAAAATCAAACTCACTCATCAGACAAGGGTCACAGCCTCGTGTCCAGGGGATAACAAGGATAATAAAAGCTCTAGCATTGGGTCTGATGTGGAGAACCTTCTCCTGTCCAGATGGAATCCAGATACTATGATAATACCAACACCATGTCGCTCACATACCCTTGGGGATCAATGGAATGATAATACCAAAGAATTGGAATGTCGAAGATGATGGTCATGCCTCTAATGCCTGTCAGTGCGCTGGTGGGTCTCTGGGGTACAAAGACTATTATGGACGAAGTCTCATGCTCAGTGCTCTAACAAACACAGGTGGATTTTACATATCCTGTCTGCATTTCGGACAATCTTTCCACGGATTTGCCAGAAGATTTTATGGAGCAACAGGTTGGTGCGGAGATTCTGCCAAGGAAGTGCTAATTAAGAAGCTTCCCACTATGTCTCCAACTTAGGTCTGAGGACACTGGGACACGCTATTGATGCACAAGCAGTCTATTGCAGATCAACCATCCAAAGGGACGTGAAGCAGTTGCAGAGTCCTTGAACTGGACTCTCCAAGGGACAGATAACCAATTAGCATACAATGTTATCAAACAGATCTTGCTGGTCAACAGAAGAGAAGAAGACTCAATTTTGTATTAAGGTTCTTTAGGGCTTCAGACTATTGAACTGTTGAAAGAAACTGGTTTTTGAGCTGTAGCTCAATGTATGTGAATATGTTCTCTCCTTCTGATGCATGTGCAACAAGATCCATTGTGAGCTGATCTTAACAATGCATGGCGCGAGGCGACTGACCATTTTGTGGGGTGGTAGACGGTTCTTTCATCAATAGTTTGCATAATTTTAGCACTTGCTGACGGGTATTATGAAAAGTAGAAAATAGGCTTCCGGTGTTTTGATTGAAAATGTAAACATCAAGGAGAGGGGAAATCCCCGTGGCGGAATGCCTGATGACGTTATTCGACCCCATGTGCTTATACATTAAACCAGAACCTCGCTGAACCAACCAAATGCAACAAATTTTGAGAAAGAAATACTTGAAAGAACAAAACCATTTGAATATTCTATAGTGAAACAACAGCTGTGTCACTGTAAAATTAGTTCTTTAATCTGTTACGAACCAGCGGGGATGTGGGAGAAAGTACATGCATAAAGTCAGGTACCAGGGAATGAAGAATCATTTTGTTTTTGACTCAGTCAAAATTTACAAATGAAGAGTCAGTGTATAACAGTCTGATAACGAAAATGACGATTTTATCCAAATTGACCCCGAAAAATCTTGAAAAAAATAGTTATGCCCCAGACTGTTGCATTCTTGCTGGGTGTTTTTTCAGAAGAAAAAAGAATCTTGTTTTACAGCAGTAATTTCCATACAAAATCCCGGATATCTAATGAGGGCTACGTGTGCGACATGTCTATGTGAATAAACAAATTGTTTGTGAGCATACAGAAAAAACATAAAGATGTAGCTGATGGATATGGCTACCTTGGAGATTAATTATCATTATCCGAATGATCAAATATTTAATGTAACAACTTTGAAGTCAGTCTAATTTACAAAACACGTTCATTAGTGCTGTACTTGTGCATTATTTGTATATCCGTGTCGATGTCAAACTCATTACAGGTCACACAGGCGATGTGTAGTGCATCTATAAGAGAATCAGTGATCAACAGAAAGTGCTAGTTTTAGACATCCTGGATGCAAAAACAGAGGTAACTGTGACTCTAACCCTACTGGAAACTGTTACGATTATGCGTGGGACACCAAATACATATTTACATACTGTTTCATTTGGCAATCGACACCTAAAAATAGTGATTCATGAACACATGCTTGTGATATTGCCGGAATCGCATAAGAGACATGCTTTTAGCAGAGGTTTCTTATGAAGATGGAAATGGCCTAGTCGTTTTTATTTACAACTTCAGTGTACTATGACTTTTTGAAGACACCACTCAATCTTGTAAAATTGTGACAGCTTTAAGAAAGAAACATTAAACATCTTTATACAGAATCATTTGGCATCACAGTAACTATTCAATTAACTTAAATTAATGAGGAGAGAACTCACATGACAAGCGATCCTTTTACTCCTCACGGCTGCCAGGTCATATATGCAGCTGTGGACACAAATGTGCTAAGATGACCTCAGTATCAATAGACATGACGTACCATTATTACCATGTGTTTTTTTCACAGTTAATTTTGGGACAGTTTATAACTGTCAGATGTCTGCACAGTTTCGAAACAAAAAGCACAAAAATATCAAAATAGAGGAAGTGTCTTTAAGAAAATACTTGAATTAAAAATAATAACAGACTGATTACCTTCTGGCACATACTCGTGTTCAATAGTCATTGCATCATTCAAGGATTTATTTCCATTTGGATTCTCTATTGGTGAAAAGACAACTGATTTGACGAGACCAGCCATCTTCAACAAGGGGGTAATTTTACTGAAGCAAGTTGAAGCAAAGCTGACACCAGCTCTTCCAAGTGACGCCTTTGGTGACATCTGCAACATGGCGCTCAAGGTGGCAGCTGAAGACCCCATCATTTGTAGATCCTCTATCTTGTCAGCTTTACTCCGCATCTGTCGTGTGTACTCGGTAGATGATGTCACTTTTGCCAGAATATTACTGGTGGAATCCAGTCCCTCCTGTGTCAGCTTCAGAATCTTGCTGGATCTCTCTTCAACATCTGACAACAGAATACCTCTCCTCTGCTGTATTTCATCAATCAATTCGTCAAAGGCTTTGTTGATGTCAACCACGGCAGCCTGTTTTGACACCTGTATGTTTGAATGTCTTTTCTTGAGATCTTGTTTTATTTCCTCAAGTCCCTCTGCCTTCTCCCTCAGCTTGACTAAGGTATCGTCAATGGACTTTGCCTTTTCTTTGTGTGCTTCATCCACGGACACGACGTTGTGTCCCTTCCCTTCTTTGTGTTCTACTACAGTGCAGGACACACAGACGATCTTTTCACAAGTGTAGCAGTAGAACTGTAGGGGTTGGTGATGTTGTGCACACTTATGGAGACGATTGAAACTTTTACCTGGTTGTTCTTTCATTTCTTTAAAACTGACAGTTTGGTGATCTCGCATCGGTTGAACTCTTTTGTGGGCATTTAGACATTCTTGGCACAGGAAGACGCCACAGTCATCACATCTGGACATGGCAGGGTTACCATCAGGACAATCTGTACATGGCAGATGAAGACCTTTCACAATCTTCAGATGATCCAGGATTCTTAGGATGATAGGCTCTTTGGGCAGAGACTTGACACCACCCGGCAGGTTATGTTGGTGTCGACACATGGGACATGATAACGTTGGGAGTCCTTGGCTGTACGTCTCTAGACAAGCCTGACATATTGACTGTACACAGCAGGGCATACGACGAGGTATTCGTCTGACCTCATCAAAGTGTTCAGTACATATTGGGCACTCGGTGAGAAGATCCTTGATGGCGGACGCTGATACATAGTCCGACATGGTTATCTGGAAATAAATTTAAAACATCTGAAGCATTTTCGGATTCCATGTGTAATCGTCTTTGTGTCTCGACACAATTGGTACAAAGTCGTATGAGACACATCCATACTTGCATTGTATGTACATCACTCAAAACTGCTAGTAGCATTAAATTATGAGCTCGTTGTTTTATTGATTTTAAATGTTGCTTATTACCACAACTCTCCCAATGCATAATAGAATAGAATATGCTATTGATTTAGGATCTATTTTCATATCATAAAATATAAGCCAGCTACACGATAAATCGCAAAGAACAATTGGAATGAAGCGTGGTTTATTTCACGATAAAACATTGTTCTACCATGACGTCATTTCTGGAGATTCAAACATGCGCTCGCATCCTAATGAGGTCGTAAATTCGACGACGATATCTATTAGAGGGAAGTGTTTCGTGAGTTGTTCCCAATAGATGTAGCAGATAACGCAATGGCCGAACGATCGCATCAAAACGTGGGAGAGATATGACAATCGGTAATTGGAGAAAAGGTACAGATAAAAGACGTGAAACTTGTGAAAATACCCCTTTTAATAAAATAGACTTGTCCGACATTGCCGATTTCGGAGTGTATTCAGTGAGTCATCATTATTTACATAAGGGTAAACCAATTGAGAGCATGTACATTGTATTAAGATCTTTAAAGAGGCTGGGCGAAATGTTGGTATCTCATCTAAGCAATTAACGACTCGTGGTCGATGTTTATCGCACAATTAAACACTGTGTCCCTAGTGGTTTATTCTCCCTGCAGTGTTTTAAAACAGAGAGGGAGCAACTTGCTCTTTTGATATGACGTATTGAGGCATTTTCTGTTGATTAACGCCGCACCCAAAGGCGGTTTTAAATGATGTAATGCACATAATCATATGTTCTTTTTATTGGTATATTTTATAGAAACCTAGCTCATTATATGTAACGATTGCCTTTTTAAACTTCAGTAACCTTGACCTCTCATCAACGTCAAACAAGGCCTATTTAACAAGACCCTTGTCCATGAAATCATGTATGTCCAGGAGTATCCTGGCATAAAATGTTCTTCTGGGCATAAACTTCTGTCATGGGGACCTTGACTTAACAGTCGGCCAGTCATATGTCATAAAGTTAACTTAAACGCACAAAAATTTTTTATGTCAGATATGCAAATTCTACAGGTAAGCATGTATAACTATGAAGTGCACACATTTACATTGAAATATTCAACTGATTAGAGTACCTACGTTCTGACATCTGCAATAGTCATAGTCATTCCAAATCCTGACTGGGCTATACTCATTATTAAACCACTCTACTTGTAAATAATATTAATACAAGTCATTCCAAGTTAGGATGGAGCCCTATCCATGATCAAATTACATGGTGTGTACTATTCTAAGTTTGTCCACATGACGTTTTATAGTTCACATTCTTCCTACATCCAGAGAAAATGTAATTCTGAGCGTCTTCCGCCTAATACATGAATACTTCACACTAAGGTAAAAACATCCCTGAGAAGCACTACAACCAGAAGCCGACCTAGAGGTCACCGATTCACTACGCCCATTACTCCCTCAGTCAGCCTTACACCCGCAGATACCGGAGAGACAGAATTCCATCAAGGTCAGCTTGCCCAACCCGAGAGCTAAGAAAGGCTCTTGCTTGAAACACAGTGAGTCTGTTTGCCTGCACCGGGACTCCACGCAACCGAGGACAATTTACTACATGTAGCTACATGCAGAGCGGAAAGCAGTCAGATGTAACGGCATAGACATAGACAGATGCACGTATTGAAAGTAGGTCATTCTGCACGGGCTACAATATCAGACATTTTCAAGATCAATGTATAACACTTACCACTCCTATTGGATATAATTTCAAAAAAGATCAACAAAAAAGATGAGGTATTGCATTCAGTAGTAAATGTTTGTGTTTGAGTGCATGGTCGTAGCTTTAAATTGTAATTGAGTTTGAAAGGACTATTATAGAATGGATTCAATGTGAATTTACTAACTATTGAAATCACTTCCTTCACTTGATATTTCCAACAGACAAGCAGTTCTCAGTAACTAGCCCTAACTGTGTTTTAGGCATATCAATATCAAAATCGCAATGATATGTCTCTGACATGAATGCAGAAGTAGTCATTATAGTCACGGGGTGGGTATTTTCGTTTTGATACAATATGCGTATGATATTTGAAGCATCTTAAAATAATTTGAATTCATATTGTAGTAGCAATCATTTACACTTGTCTATGCACAGTCGAATCCCGTTGTGTCGAGCTCGGATGTGTTGAATGCCCGGTTGTGTCGAACCCACAGTCCTGGCCCGGCGAACTCGTGATATATTTATCACTATTTTAATCAGAATGTGTCGAATTTTCCGTAGTCACGAAATAAATGTGTAGTCCCAACATGCGTATTTGGCCCGTTTGCTTTCTGATGGCAAGTAAAGGGCTCAGGACAAGGAAGTAGTTATTCCCTTGTCGTTATAGTCATGGGGCAGGTAGCAGGTCTGTGACGTGTCTATTTTCGTTTTTATACAGATGTATATCACATTTGAATTCATGTTGTAGTGAATATAATTTTCACAGTTCTTTTATTAAGTACCGATTAAATGTACACTAAAACCACTTTGTTCCGTTTTACCTCCGTTTGTTTAATTGTTGTTTGGAAGAAGTTGTTGTAAGGAATAGAGTAATAATTTATTGTACAAAGGCACCCACCAAGGACAGACTACAATTTGTATCTACAATAAAATGGCAATACATATGATACAAACGAGCATGCACACCGATTTACATCATACGTTCAAACGAATGTCCAAAATGAATAGTTAGCTGGCAGTGGTGAAGAAAATGAATACTTTGTTTGGTGAAAAATGAATACCATAACATCACACAGTTGTGTCAGAAGTGAAAAAGAATAGATTAGTTGATGGTGCTCAGTAAACAAATAATTTGTTGGCAACAGTCAGAAAAATTATTTATTCTTCTAAAAACAACTCCTCCCACAAATACAGAGCAAATGGAAGCACCCCTAGGATGGTTACTCACAACAGAGTCGGATCGAGGATTGGGAAACGGAAAAGGAAAAAATACAAGGCTTACAAGGCTTGCTGCATGGCTAACTGCGTGACCCAAATACTTGCTGATCTACATGAACTTCAACCAATCTTTGCATTAAATACAAACTGTCGATCTACAATCGTCACACTTCTGTCTTCAGACATGTTGACGTATGATGGACTATTCAATTAGCCCTTACAAAAAACAAATAAAAAATGTCAAAATTTACCAAAGCATGAGATGGCGACATCATGACCATTTGAACTACTGAATTGTTTGATAGGCATTGACTGAGAAATTGACGGATGACAAAGTAGACACACTTTATGGATAACAACGTCTTTAATACTTTAAAAGGTGACGTATAGATCCTTATACCGTTGCCCAGCAAGACTCACTCAGACAATCGACGAGCTTTAACCCACAGTCAAAGCTACCTTAAGGAGTTTGTATGCTTATTTATAACTGTGAATGAGATTATCCCTGTACTCATTCATCTATAATTATAGATCTCGCTTTGTTGAAGTATCTTGAAAATAAGAAGTCATTAATGAAAGTACGACAATGCCACACCGGTCACGCTAATGATACAGGTTCGATTCCCAGGCTGGGTTCGCTGCGAAGTCGTGACTACGTACTACATTTTGACTGTGTGACATCAACGTCTCACTGTATTAGCTGAATCAGTGATTTCATGAAGTTAAAAAGCGGAGCGTCGTAAAAGGTGACTATGCTTGTCTTAAGAGGCGACTAACGGGATCGGATGGTAAGGCTCGCTGACTTGGTTGATGCATGTCATCGTATCTCAGTTGCGTGGATGGATGCTCATGATGTCAATCACTTGATTGCCTAGTCCAGACTCGATTATTTACAGACCTCAGTCATATAGCTGGAATATTGCTGAGTGCGGAGTTAAACAAAAAACAAATGGAAATTAAATAATATAGCGTGGGTATACACACTGTGAAGCCTGTGCATACTGTCCGGAAGTAAAACTGATTGAATAGACCGCAGTCATAACTATTCCAGCTACATCACGAGTATGTCAGTAGATCATCTAATCTGGACCAGTCAGACCAGTGATTGGCAGCACGAGCAACGGTCGGGACACGATAACTCACAACCTGCCAAGTCAAACATCACAACCATCCGATCCTCAGTTTAGTCGGCTGTATGACTCGTAACGGAAGCTGGGAGTGTTTGACTGTATAAGTCCCCATGGTTTCACATATACCGGAGATTCACGAACACCTGTTTCCGTAGTCTGGGTCATTCGTCACCACTCGCCCCTTTTTGTTACCTGAAGATCGCTATTCGGCTTGTCCCGGAATAACACGACTTGGTCACGAATGTAGTCTGGGTCTGTCATACCGGAAACCATTCGGGACAAATTCTGTTGAGAACGTCCACAAATCTACTCCTTGGAATACGTTCAGCACCACCCATTCTGTAGTATCACGTGCACGTAACGTGGCGACCGATTGAGGACGACATCCTTGGTCTGAATGAACATGACATTACATTACCATGTATCCATAACATTGATTATGACTCTCTGAATCACTTTATTGCCATTAGTTAAAAGATACGAATCCCTTTTGTACATTTTCTGTAAAGACACCATGAACAAGCAGTGCAACTACAGTAAACTACGGTTATAACGAACTTAAATAGACCACTAAATTTAGTTCGTAATAACCGTAGTTCGTTAAAGGCACATCTACAGCATATATACAGCAAATGGACAGGGCCAAAACAGTTCGTTATATCCGTCAGTTCGTCATAAGTGTGTTCGTTATAAACGTAGTTTACTGTATATCAATCCTTAATAATTACTTAATTTTTTTGAAAGGCATAACTTTGAAGTTGACGGATGACAATTTTATGGATTATAGCTTCTTTAATACTGTAAAAAGCGAC